GTAGTTCAGTGGCAGGTCCTTCAACACAGTGCAGCAGTTGAGTAATTTAGCATTCACTTACCGGAGTGCCCGTTGTTGCTCATTGTAAAATCGCCTTTCTGAGCATCATATCCGGTGAGCTCCAGCTGTAACATGTCTGGGTTGTGCTTCACGTTGCGTCGCTGGATGTTGATAGGGGACTGCTTCTTACCGCCACATGCAGGGTATTCGGTTGCCCAATGCATCTGGTCCAAAGCTCCCTCTGTGTGTAGAAAATCAAGGACCAGCAGCTGTTATTGCAGTGTAAAAATTATCCACATAGTAAGAATGACACCAGACTTAAATAAATTCATGCGACCCTGCTCATATTACTGCTGTGGATGATTAAACGGGCAGGTCACGGGCTGCTGCACGCACAGAACTTGTTCAGCTGGATATTTTTGCAGCCGATCTGTAGTGTTCACTCCAATTGTTTACTACAGCCTCACTGTGCACATATCATTTGTTCCTCTGACTTGATTAAGGGCTACCCTGCGTGACAACGATTATCCCATGTATCTAATTTGGCCAATTTGGCCAATGCACTGCGCCTCATCCAGAAAACCCAGTGGGCAAATGGCTCCGGTGAATGTCGGATAATAATTATACTCTTAACTCATCTTTAAACAAACTGCATTTTATTTACTGCTTCTTTTTCTTGCTATATCCAAAAAAAGATACGTACCAATTTCGTATAGGATAGGCTGTTAGGCAAGCTTTACGCATTACATTGCTTTAACTGAATCTCGTTTTGCTAAACAAAATAAAAGACACAATATTCTGACATCAGAAAGACTACCTGTGTATGTCCAGTGTATTGCGTGATGATGAATCTCTGAACTGGTCACAGAGACCAAAACAGCGGAGAAAATCACAGCGCAAAACTCCATCTCTGTGTTTCTGCTCCTTCGCGCAGGGCACAGACACCTCTCAGAGACAGACTCTCTAGATATAAACTGTGGGTGAAGGGAGGTGCTGAAACAGCTGCTGAAAACGCCCAGGCCGCTTCCCACCAGCACCCAAGTGACAGGAAAACAACTCCAGCTGATTAACTGTTTGAAATATTTTAAGACTTGAGTGCCTGCGAATTGTCTGTAGCTTGTTCTGTTCTCGCTACCAAATTAAGGCTGTAAGTAAAATAGCCAGGAACAGTAAATACCCAAAATAAATGATTTATTTTTCATTACACTTCAATTATAAATACTGGAGTTTTGAATGCAATCAAGGGCCATATGAGCACAGACAAGGACATGAAGTTGACCAAACTTCTTGTCTCCCGTGCAGCATCATAGTAGGCCTATCACTCTGTATCTAACATTTACCTTAACTTCTAATAGTAGGCTTTGTGTCTGGAGCGTTCCTGCAGCATAGAAGCAATTGCTGACTAATGTGTTATTTGGGAAGTTTCACAAAAGAAACATGAAGCCATATTAAGTAGATCCATGCCACTGCCACTTTCTGGGCAGAGCAGCATGCCATTCTGATAAAATCCAGATAAAAACACTTCCGTGAACTAAACCACCAAACCAGGGACAGTAAGCATTAGGATGTTGTGACATGTAAGCAACCACCTGTTGGTGCACACTAGTTCCAACATGTCCAACACCTCCACCTCAAATGCCAGACCTTTCAAACCCAGAGGTGTGTGATTGCACAATGTTGCCTAGTAAGAGTAAATGTCCTCACAAGTACACAAAAATAAAGGAAAGAGAAACTAGGGGTGCATTTTATAGTTAAGCCAAACTTCCAGTGAGAGGTATGAGGCTTCAACCACAGTCAGTGGCTCAGTTACAGTACTTCCCAAAATGTTGAATAACCCCTTTAATCTAGGGTTAAAGTTGGAATCAGGGTTAAGACTGAGTTGGGGTGTGTGAAGTCCCAGTTGGAGGAAGCACGGGGATGAAGAGGGACTCACCTAAAAACATGACGATAACATAGTTTTTATGGACCAAGGATCTTGTATAAGCTTTAGTAAAGGTACATTTTTCTCCATACCTTTTTTGTATTAAACATATAGTCCACTTTTGTTACCAAATAGTTTCTATTCTTCCTCTGAGCTTGGGCTTTGTTTTCCCCCGTTGAGGTCCAAAATCCCAACCTGTATATTATTGCAACCTTACTACAGACACCTGCTTTTTCAGTCTTTGGACTGAGCTTTTGTTTTGATACTCTTGCTTCTTTTGTTGGGGAAAAATCTGAAGTAAACACACACACTTCAACTAAGTGAAGGTTTCATTCCTTATAAGTACATTTATATAAAACAGTGCTGATGCTTCAGTCTAAGTGAAGGTTATATTCCTTATAGGTACATAGAAAACGGTGCTGGTGCTTCAGTTACAATGTCTCAGACAACTTAATATTCCACAGGTGCTTCTCGTTACCTTTAGGATTGGAATTTGGCTCATCCTCTAATGTTAAAATAAGTCTAGCGAGGGGTAGGTTTTCAATGAAGAAATGCATTTAAGCTGAGAGTCCTCATAAATATAGTAAAACAAAGTACACAAAAATAAAGGAAAGAGAAACTAGGGGTGTATTTTGCACCAACAGGTGGTAGCTTACATGTCACAACATCTTAACGTTTACTGTCCCTGGTTTGGTGGTTTAGTTCATGGAAGTGTTTTTATCTGGATGAGACTTGATTAAATTACAAACTGATCAAAGGACTCAATTTGATTTGATTGTCCCACATCCTTCCTCTGTGGCCTACACCTGATTGATACCAGTTGTTCTTCCTGTTTGTCTATCTGTGTTTAAAAGCTGATAACTGTTTTAAACAAATCACAAATGGCCTCTGTGGGTAAAGTAACAGGAGAGCATTTTCTACACTGACCCTTACCTTGGGTGCACCACCACCAAACAAACCAAAGCTGTCTTTGTCCTCAGTAAATCTCCAGGTTTGTCTTTGCCTTGAGGCCAATCATAGTTTTTAAGGTCTTGGAAACTTCCATCCATTTTCTTCCGCTTATCCGGGACCGGGTCGCGGGGGCAGCAGTCTAAGCAAAGATGCCCAGACCTCCCTCTCCCCAGACACTTCCTCCAGCTCCTCCGGGGGAATTCGGAGGCGTTCCCAGGCCAGCCGAGAGACATAGTCCCTCCAGCGTGTCCTGGGTCTTCCCCGGGGCCTCCTCCCGGTGGGACATGCCTGGAACACCTTCCTAGGAAGGCGCCCAGGAGGCATC